TTGTTACATTGGCTATTTTCAGCGAATGGTAAAAATGGACAGAATAATAAGTGCTTTAAAAATGTAGTTGAGCTTTCAGAACATGGCATGTTTGCTACCATATTATAATAACTAGTACATTTGAAAAGTACAGACCTGTTAACTCTCACCTAAACTTTCTCTGTTATGTGGTTTTTTTATAGTAGACCGTAAGAAAAAAATCATTGACTTTTTTTCTCTAAGGAAAACTTGTTTTACAAAAGTACTGTGAGGTAGAACTATGGGATTTTAGTTATTATGATGATGCTTCATTAAAAGAAGTATTTTAGAAAATTTTTTGTGTTAGCTTTTTTAATTGAAGTTGTTTTCATACCAATTGGCCTTTTAGATAGATTTAACTTGCTTTGAACACTTGTGAACTTTTGATTTGCCAACAGTTTTTATTGGTTGTGTGGAAATGTAAATCTTTGTTTGAAGAAGTGTGCCCTTGCATCAGAACTTGGCATCCGCATTGAATCTTAAGAAAACAGACTGTTTGTTCCCTGGGGAAACTATTCTAAAAGCTAATTTTGTTTTTATGTACTGTATCCTCCTAGATTAAGTGATTTAGGTTAGGTTGGCCTGGGGCAAAACGTTTCAGGATATTTTAGAAGATCCTGGTATCTAATTTACTCTCAGAAAATACTTTAGTTTTCAAGCTTTTCTTCCTTATCAGTAGACTATACAAACCTTTCCTTTCTCTCTCCCCCTCCCCAAAGGGGTGTGTGTGTGTGTATGTGTGTGTGTGTGTGTGTGTGTGTGTGTGTGTGTTTACAGTGGTGAATATTAAAACAATTTTTGATGAATAATGGATTTAATACAGTTGAGTGGTATCTATAGTAAAATTGTCACACAAAACAAATTGATTCCTAAGGAGTTTTTTTAAGATTATAAATTCCTGTAAAATAGGAACTTTTGCCATGAACTGTTGCAGAGCCAGGCAGATGTGGGTAAAATACTAAATAGTATTTGCTTACTAAACAAGGTTACAGTTAGCTCACATTTAGGCTCTCAAATTTTTAATTCTTATTAGATATTTTAAAGCCATTGCAGTCTTCACCAAATCTTCTTTTATGTTGAGCTACTTAAACTCTTATTTTGAAATCCAGACATTTTTCATCATTTTTATTTAAGTATTATTAGAAAAATGTATGCTTAACCATTTGATGTATCCTATGTAAGTCAAAGGTGTAGTCACAGAAGCTTATTCAAACAAGAATGGATTAATGCACTGTTTCTCAAAATAATATTAAAAGAAAAATTGCAAAGCGTCACAGGGAACTGTCCTTACAAAGTATTCCCTTCCCCCTGGTACCAGCTGGACCTCTTATAGAGTGAGTGCCCTGTTGGTCACAAAGCATTCTTCTGTACTCTATGCTCTGTCTTCTAGGCCTAACCCTATGCTAATTGTAGTACATTCTTAATTTCTTCTAATTTTCTTTTATATAGAGGAACTTTAAGAATCATCTACATTAGTCTTTTGGAAGTATATATCATGGCCTGGAAATATCCAGCAATAAGTGACCTAATGTAGATTACACAGTTATATCCAGAAATGGAACAATGTAAAATGAAACTTTTAATTCCATAAAATACAGGTGTTGTGTTTTTAAATATAGGTTTAATAAACAAATTTTAATGAAGAAGCTATTAACATTTCTCAGGCCATAGGGAATGTCAAAATTTCATTCGATTTTAGATTCACTTGTGCATACAGGTACAGACTATCTGTATTACAGACACCTCTGTATTACAGATATAGTACTGTAACTGACTTAGACCCTTTTCCTAGTTTCACACTCTTGGAGCCAATATACACAAACTCAAATAACTAAACTAAAATGAAACCTGGAAGAAAATACTATCCAACCTTGTTAGCCAAAAACATTTGCCAAGATGCACATTTCATAGAGGAAAGGTGCAAATTTAAAAATAAATAGCTTGTTGGCATTACGCATAAGAGCTTAAAATGCCAAACTACATGTCAGTTGAAAATAAACATTCGTTATTTTTTTTTAAAGAAATATATTGTTAATTAGCAAAGGACTCATTGGAAAGTGGGAAAGATTTAGGGAGATTTGAGTCAATTGGAACTTAAATTTTTTTTTAGTACTCCAAAAACAGGGAACAACAATGTTTGTAACTCTTCGGTGTGTATGTGTGTGTGTGTAATTTATTTTTGTTGACTATGATTTTAACTTCTTTACGTAGTGAGAAGTTGTCAGTTTCATAATAGTCATGATTAATTTTTTTATATGATCGAGTACTTTATTTGCAAATTAAGACTAACTTGAAGGTTAATAGGAATGAAAGAAGTTTAATCTAACATGTACCTGTATGGAATCAATTGTATTCATATTGGAAAATTTTAAAATAAAGTACAGAAGTGAATTTTTCTTTGAAAATTTTCCAAACAAGTTTTCTTTTTCTTGTAGTGGAAAACCCCACCAATTTTGATATTCATTATATGCTTTGAGATTTTAAAGTTATATACTTTGATATTTTTTAAAGAGTGTTTCATTTTTAAAAACCTTATTCATATAATTAAGTGTCCATTGTTAAATCATATTAGTGTTAAAGTAGACTAATGCCTTTTTATTTGAGAAGAATAAGATAAAAATGATAGTTTTTTTATTTTGAAAAGCACATTTTAAAAACTTGTATAAACTTTAGCTTTTGTCATCTACTGTTTAAGGTTAACATAAGGAAAAACAATATTTTATGATGGATTTAATTCCTTTGTTCTTGAAATTATTGTTTAAAATAAACATATTTTAATATTTACCTGTTTACTCAAAGCATGGAACAATAATATGGCATTTATTTAATCTGTATACAATTTAATTGTTCAAATCATTAAAAGTATTTTAAAGAATATGAAAATGTGCCATTAAATCTTTTTAAGCAGTTTTTTCCAGTTTAATGTCTAAATCCAAATTCATAAAGAGTTGGAAAAATGAGATGTCTGAGCTATAGGATTCACAGGGATTTCATACGAAGCCTATTTAATCAGGGTAACACTGTTATTAATATTCATCAAGTCCCTTGGAACACAAATGACAGACTATGGAGTCTGTTTTTTTAACTTGGTGAATTTATTAAAAGCAGCTTAAAAAATTAATGGAATTTAAGTAAATTTGTTGGATATGAATATCTAGTTAACAGGAAAAAATCTTTATAGAACTTTCTTTAAGATCATTTTGCACTGATACCATTTGACAGATTTCATTGGTAGTAAAAGTAAGAAGATGCATGAATGGTCATTTAAGAGGATTTAAATACATTGGCACGTTAATTTTTACATGAATAATAAGTAGTTTCCAAAAGCAATTAACTTACAGTGTACAAGATTTTAATAGGAAAATAAGCCTTTGACATCAAAGGAGCTTTAAACTTAGTGACTGGACTTTCAAGTGATTTGACCTGTTTGATTTTTACAGTTTGTGCTGTACCTGTTATCAAGCATATTTATGTTTATGCATGAGAAAAGTAATTAGATAAGAATAGTTTGATGCCCCCCAAATCCTAGTAAAGCTAAAACATTTGTGGCAACAGTTCTGGTGAAGATCTGAACATTTGCCATACTTTTTTGAATTAATATTATTAGAAAGCATCTTCTCTTCTGAGGTAAGTCAAAGGTAGTGATTTGTCACAATGCTAAATACAGTAAATCTCAATGCAGCTTGAGAGTTTGTTTCCAGTTTTATTTTAAAACAGTAGCAAAATATCATGTGTTTTCAATGTTTACAACATAAACTCTCCAGTCCTGTGCAGTTATTTTTGTAATACTCTTGATTGTTTCTACCAAGTATATTCCTTCTGAGGATCCAGCTATGTATTCCATATGATTTCTTTTGTTGATCTATTTTTTTTCTTTCTAGATTTCCAAATTGTGCTTTAGTATTACCCATATACTGCACTTGTGCTTAATGTACAAGAAATTATTTTGAACTGAAAGTTGTTATTAAAGTTAAATCTAGTTTGCAGCCACTATTTTCCTGGAGATGATTTTCTATTGCACATTTTTTATTCTTAAAATTAAAGTTCATTGTGTTATTAATTGGATCTGGCTCATGAAAGAATATAGAATTTAACTTTAAAACTGAATTAGCTTCTGTACAACCATATAGGCATGAATTAGAATAACCCAATGTGTCAAGAATTTCCCTTAAAATTATCCCTTTTCAGTTACTTTTCAGTCTCACATATGGAAGCATTGTAAAATATTTTAAGAAATATTTGTATATTTAGTGTTACATAGCATTTTTGCTAGACTTCAGGAAGTTCTACGTGATGTTATCAAAGCTATATGTCATTGGTATATTAAGCACATCATATTAAGCACATACTTGTGGATGGCTCCACAAGTAGTGTTTTTGTGGTTCAGTAACATTCACTAATATGTCCAGGAGAGGGCAGCATTTTCCTATACCAGGTACATACTGTAAAAGAACATGCCCTGCTTACGCTGTCAGTGTTTCTTGTAATTACTCCCAGTATATTTGTTGCTTGCTTATGAATTAACTTGCATTTATGGAACTAAATCATTCCAATCATTTAATTACACCTGAGGAGCTGAACTATAATTGCTTGCTTCCAACTAGGATCTGATATGGCTTGAGCAGTATTAATTTGGTGTTTACTTTTCTGAGTGCTAAAAGCATTAAAATGATTGTGCAATGGGATTACATTTTACTAATTGCTGGCATTCATTAGCTGGGTAAATGGCAAGGAATAATGACTGTATATTGTAGAAGGATAAAATTATGGTTTTAAATAGTATATTACTAGCACATTAAGGCCCCTAAGACATGTTTTTAAATACTCCAGAGGTTATTAAATACTGTATTTTCTTCATGTCTTGCTATATGAATCTATTATTAAAAGAGTCCAATTATTATTAACCTTTTGAGCAATATGTAGGGAAATGGCTTCATTGACTGAAACATTTCTTTGATATTAATAACCTTATATATTTTCAGCTAATCCAAAAGCAAATGTGGAACTGAGAAAAAGATTGCCAACTCCAAATCAACACAGTTACAGAGAATTAGAAAAGGAAAAGCTTACAGCTTCATTTGAGGACTTTTGTAAAGAACTCTGTGTACTATATATGAGGTAACTGCTATTTTTTTTCACTGTTAGAAAACTAAAACATTTTAAAAATAGCTTTTGTCATACACATTTTTAAAAATGTAAGTAAAAGATAATTCCTGTATGTTTACAATAAAAGGTGGCCTAAAGAAAGCTTATCAATAATCTTCACAATTTTTTTTTTAAATCAGAAGTTTAGAAATAGAAGACTGTTCAGTTTTTGCTATAGGAAGGTGAGTGGGTAGGTTGTTTCCACTCCTAGAGTTATAAAAGAAGCTTTTAATAATTGATTCTTCTTTGCCATCCAGCAGTGATATGTTTAAAATGTAAACATGGGTTGAAATTAGAACTTTTAACACTATTACAAATGACTTTTTATGGAAGAATAAATGTTTGAGTTCTCATGCACTAGTCATCTATTAATACTCTCAACTTGTGAACATATGTGACATTTTTCTTGGAAAGTTATAAATAGGTCCCAAGTTGGAATTTTAGTTTTGGATGAAACAAAAGTTAGTAGTGTTTATAATGTGTTATATTAGATACATTACTGAGTTTTATTTGTGTACATTTTAAATTTCCATTCTATATTACAATTATGATCATGTAAAAAGTTAATTTTTATATCTTGAAGTTCTAAAGAAATATGAAAATAATATTTGATGTATAAAATTTCTTTTTTGTTTTTCCTGAATTTTAAATAAATATGAAATACCTTAAATACCTATAGCAATTTTTAATCTACGTATCTTGAGTTGTAGGTTTAAAAGGGGAGTTTTTCACACATTTGTAGCTCTCATGAAAAAACCCCCCACTAAATCATTCGGTAAATTAAAGCATATTCCAACTAAGGTAATGAGTTCATTAAAAAACTGAACAATTTGACTAAGTTATTGACTAAATGTAATTGTAAAGAAAATAGCCTTTTTCCTGAGAAAAACTATTTAGCATCAAATGTAAAAATAACCAATTTACTGCCCTAGTAAAACTATTTTAGCAAACCATTTGTCTTATAAATTCTGTGTTAAGCAAAGCTAAGGAATAAGCTTGTTCTGATATATTGTTTTAAGTTTATTTATCTAGAGTTGGCTTTACTTTAGCTTTAAGATCTTGGAGCAACAATCAGTGACCGTGCCAGATCAAACAAGTTCAGAAGTACAAATGGAGAACTGGTCAAAAGGTAAGAACTTTTAAGGTATTAATATGTAACCCCAGGTGTTGTACTTGTGCAAGGATTGTGGAATATGTTTGTTCTTGCTAATATATTAAAGACTGTGTGTATGTTTGTGTGTTGTGTGATTAAGGGGATATTATTCATTTTACCTTGTTGCATGGAAAAACTGGTGGGGGGGGACAACATTTAATGTTCTCAAAATAGAAATCTTACAGTAAATATGAATCTCCTTGATTTTTTTTTTAAAGTGGTGCTTTCTAAATAATACTGTACTATGAAACTTTTGATGTCTAGTTCTCCCTTCCAGGATTTTAGTCCAACAATGGTCAGGTAACTTTTCCTTACGTATAACATTGTTTTAAAGATTTGTCTAACAAATGTTCACCAGAACAGTTTCTGCTTACTCTTTTTCAAAACAGTTAATTAATCTTGACATAGACAAATACAATATATAGTTGTCTTATAAAAGGTATTATAAATAACAGGGAAGACTATCACTTCACAAATTCAGCCTACATAGGACATGAATGAAATATTTTTGAGTCAAAAGGAGTATAAGCTATAGCTTTGAAATGTATTTTGTAATTCTCTCCTTGAGGGAAATGTCATCATAGATCAATAGAAGTTCCTGGCTTTTCTGAATTTCAAAGTTTTTTTTTTTTAAGTCCTAATTTTTTGCTAAACGTTTTAAAGTTCATCTTTCTACAGTCCTGTGGAAATTGCTAATATAATTTTTGAATAGGCATCTCTAATAACGCATAAGTTTATATTTTGGGGGTTGAGAGTGAGTTTAGATATTAGTTCTCTTTTTAAGGAATTGTAAAAGTATGTAGTTTATTAAAATTTAAAACCTTTAGGGGTCAGTATATACTAAGAAAGGTTAAAAAGGTTAGCTGTGCTATAGTGATTAACCAAAGCAAATTAAGTCAGCTATACATTAAATATTTTCTATCTGTGACAAAATTGTGAAGATATCAAGAGTTTTTCAAAGCTTTTAGAGAAGCTTTAGATAATATTTTATTTTCCTCAGTTTCTTTCTTTAAGATTATTTCTGGCTTTTATTGTTTCATAATGTATATGTAAAGAGCTGTGTTGCTTTGTTATATTACATTTTTAAAAAAATGTTTGAGTTTTATTGTCTTTACATCACAGTCATTTTCTATACTGTCCCCTCTATAATGTTTTTCTGCTAGTAATCACCTTTCAGTTGTCATGGGGTGGATGACCTAAAAAATGGGTTTTGAATCTAAAAATGTGGTATGCATATAGTGTACTCGTCATAAAAATAAATTATTGCTTTATAATTTTTCAGTTGGATTGGAAGGAAATAGGAAAAAGGACATTAAAAATGTTTTAGGTTCTAGGCTCAAGAAAAAATAATTAGTCTAATTATGTGTGACTAAATTGTTTCAGGAAATAAATTGCTGCCTTGTGATTACATTAAAAATAACACCTAGATTAACTTGCATTTGCTAAATGAATTGCCTTAAAGTAAAAGTTGAAATTATTAAATTGTTTTCAGTGAACCTAGTAACAGCACCATCTTTCTAAATAAGCAATTAAAATTGTGAAACATTGTGTTTCACAAACTTTATTTCATTGGATCTGTGATCATCTCAGTTGTGGGTATTCCATCCAAGGGTGGAACTCTCTCTAGGCCTTCTCATGCTGTGTGACTCTTGGACACATCTTCCTATAAATCTTCTGGAAGAGCGCTCATAGTACTACCAGACTATATGGCCTATTCCTTACTCTCACTTCATGAATGGTCCATCTCCTTTTTCCTCAATATACCTTTTTAGTGGTGTACTTTATGCCACTTGTGGATGATTTTTCATCAATAATATGTTACAATTTAAAGTCTTCACAGTGTGGTATTTTATGATAAGCCTTTTATTTTAAATTCCTGGGAAAATGGAACATGAAAATAACAGTAAATGTGATAAGTGGAATAACATCTATCTCTAAATGACTTAGATATGTTAATATTATTAAATAGAAATATTTGAAATTTATTTAAATTTTATAGAGGTACTCTTTATATGATCATATACATAAAACAGGGATGCCTTTAAAATTCATAAGTACTTGATACAGCACATATTTTATTGTTATAGATGATAGTATATAGAACTAATGGTATTCATTTAGAGTAAAACAAACTTTTGCCAGTATTGAAATCTCTATTTCAATTCAAAATCTGAAGACTAATGGTATCCTAGAAGATTTTATATGTATTTTATAGCAAATATGAATTTGATTATATTTCATTATCCATGTGCCATAGGAGAGGTTAAAAAAGACATGTCTTAGGGCTGATTAAATTTACTGTTTATCTCCACAGGACCTAGTTTAATAGAGTGATGGTGGCTTCTCACACATTACCATCTAAGAATACTTGAGAGAGTGGTTCAGGACCATTGGCAGCTAGCCAAAAAAGAGTGATTCATTTCCAGAGGAAATGTGCAGACTCCAATTGAAAAACGATTGAGGATATAGTCCATTATGGAAAAGAAATCCATTCCTTTAAATACATTTATTAAATCAAGTTGACTTCTGGGGATATCTGATTTTATACCTCCTATAACTATAATATTACCTTAGGCCTAAATACAGAAACTGATCAAAACACAACAGCATTTGAAAGAACACTAAAATTTGTAATATCTAAAGTTTGTGACAAACTTCATATTGAAATAATAATTTTTGTTATTAATAATTTGTGTAATTAGTAGGAAAATTTTTATAAGGAAAAGTAGTACAATTTTAATTTTAAATAACATTTAAATCAGCAAATATTGTGCCCAAGTCTGTGCTCGCAAAATTACATAGCATAAGTAATGGTTCAGAAATCCTTCTGTAGGAACCTAGTTCATTTTTAGGATTGTTTTGATTTCAGAGCTTTGAATCAGCAAAAGTTGATTCAGATGTTTAAGTTTATTAAGAGTTTTAGTCCATGCTTCTACTAGTTGAAATTATACTAGCGTAATGATTCTTAACCATTTTTGTGTCATGAATCCCTTTGGCAATATGGTGAAACCTATGGATCCTGTTTCAGAATAATGTCTTTAAATTCACTAAACGAGATATATAGGATTAGAAAAAAAAATTATATTTAAATAAAGATAAATATTTCCCCCCCATTTCCAAGTTCATGGACCCTTTGGAAGGTTCTCTGGAGAATCCCTGTACTGATGTTACTACTCCTAATAAAATCAAAGCAGTAGATTTTTATCTGAAGGGTTGTCTATTAATTTACATGCTTAATAATTTTTGTAAAGTATAAAAATTGGAAAAGAATCTTACAGAACTTATAATATTGCATCAGTATTTTTAAAAGTCACTTAATGAATTCATATTGTCATTTTGCTTAAAAAAGTTTATGAGTATCAAGCCTTTGAGTGATAATTACAGAAAATATTTTTGTTGCTTTTGGAATTGCACAAGGAAAAGAAATATAAACTTAAAATCAAATCAGATGAACCTATACCTTGAAGTTTTGATGATAGAATTTATTTTGTAGTTCAGTGTTATAATCTGCAATTTGGAGGATTTTTTGCTTTGTTGTAAATGCCATGAAAAGGCTGAGAAAGTGATTAAAATACGTATTGGATTTTTCATATTAATATTGGGTTCATAGTGATCATCTTTGTTTTGGGAAGTCTGTAATTTTTAGCAATGAACAATATTAAGTTAAAATTATTTTAGTATTTTATTTATTGTTACTTAATTAGCCAGAATAGTTATTTTAAGTGTAGATAAATAGTATGTAGTATCTTGCATAACATCCTAAGAATTAAATGAATGTGAAGAACTTTTTTAATATGATAAACATTAAGTATCTATTATATTCAAATTTTCTTCTTTAAATCATGTTCTTTTCTTCTCTCCTCTCAAAAGTTCAGAAACATCAAGTCCTGCCTTTTTATGACAGTGAGATCACATTTACTATTAGTTTTGTTGAACTAACCAAAATACATGGACTCTATAAGATTGGAAAAACAGAGCAAATACTTCCTACCCAAGGGTTCAGGGCTTATTCCCTTGGTGTGCACAAATGTTTCAACTTGCATACATTGTATGAACATAGATCCATATGTAGATCTTCATACATGGTATGAAGTATACTATAGAGTATATTACCAAGTAAAATTGGTGTGAAGAATTTTTATAATTTGAAACTCTTCCCATTTTTATTGTACTCCATTGTATTTTAAGGAAATGTTAGTGTCATGATAGAACAAATGGTGGTCTTAGTCTTCCTTTGTCTGTCATTTTCAAAAGAATTATAATTAATAATATTTACAGTATAAGAAATATGATTGTTTCTGCCTAGAAACCATTGCTTGTATTTTATTATCCACTAGTACAGAGCTTAAGATCAGGACAGGGATGCATTAGGACAGGTAAGATGAGCAAATACATAACAAAAAATTTTCATTAAAAAAGCAGTCCTTGATCTCTAGGGAATGCAATAGACTATCATCAGAGGGTTCACTTGCATCCTTAATAGACCATTTGCCCTGTGTGAATTTTTTTGTTGGCCCCTTATTATCACGAGTGACCTTTTTCTTTTTTTTCTTTACCAATAATGGTCATCTAAAATGAACAATTAATTTAAGGGGAAAAAAAGACATTACTTTTCTAAGACTATTTGGCCAAAAATTTTTGGCACTTTCACATTTTAAAATGTTAGACGTAACAGTATACTTGTCACAGTGTGCAACATTTTACTAAGAACCTAGCTAGTGAAAGAGAATGTACCTTTTCCTTTTATTCATTTGTTTTATGGAGAAAAGGGTAAATTTGAATAAAATAACCAGTTTTCAATTTGAAAATTATTTAATAATTCTACATAAGCAGTATTGATAGTGTGAAACCCTATATTTAAACTAACCTTAATTATGAGTGATAAACAGAATATTTACCTATCCCTTATGAGCTGCTGCTGATATGTAAATTTATTCTTTGACTTTGCACAAATACACTTTTGAGCTACTGCTTAA